ATGGCTAATGATAGCCGCTCTATTGTTAGTTCCTTGAAATGGGAAATTGTAGAATCGGTAATAGGAGTATAAAATTTGAGCATATTGAGCATAAGTTGACGGTATGAACTTGGATTGCTTCCTGTTATACAAAAGGTTTCAACTGAGTTTTCGAATGCAATGATAAGTGCAGGTAATAAATAATCCTTATACGATTGTCATTAATTGAAAGAACCAGTTGCGTCTCGAAGGTGATAATATAAAATGTAAAAGTTTTTCACTAGAAAAATGACAGAATTTCGAACTACATAAGAATTTCGAAATTCAACTTGGTTAAAATTCCCTTAATCTATAGTCTATAACTGTTTTTGCGAGATCTCTTCCTGAAAACTGTATTGCTCGTTGGATCCAAAAGGAATATTGTCGTTTTTATCCGGATAAATTTCAATGTTATATCAGGTGCATTTGTGCAAATATTTCGCTCCAACACTCGGCATACTTCCGGATTGATTCGAAGGAAAGAAATCGAGCTTCCTGTGATTCGCTTTTTATTAAAATGAAAATTAAGAAAAGACGACTGGACAGTTTTATTCCGTCATTTTATAATACATCGCACATCTATTTAGGCAAATTCGTGCCACGAAATCTTTCATAGCGTTATATTACTTAAGAATCATACAATCATTTCCTCTTATAACGAATTTTCTTTTCATATATATGAATTTTTTGCGTATGAGAAAACAGGGAAACCAATAGACCTATTAAAAACCCTATTAAATTGTGCTTTGTTGGTTTTTTCTGGCAGCATTAAGTAGAGATTTCGGGCTTATCTAATTCCACCGGAAATTAGAGTAGTGATCTCTAATCATCTTTACTGTAAGATGAAAATACGGGTGAGAAGAAGAGCCAAGGGTCATCTTCAGTGGCAGTTTTATTTCTGCTTAGTCTATAATTCTCGGTCAAAATACTATCCCATTCCACTCTTGTGTCTCCCAAAATTTTTGAAATGCCTTTGAGAAACAATATAATTATAGAAGTATTTTAGATACTAAAATAATATTAAAATATTTTTAATAACGGTCAACCAGAAGTAAATCGCAATGGTTGTATAATTTATTATTATTTGCCAAATTAACCGTTAGGTAGACAATGTAGATAAGCTGGATTTCTTCGAGATGAACTCACATTTGGACATCTTCTAGCAGAATATATAACTATTTAAAATATTCCTAGATAATAATGTTATAGGCAAATGCGATTGGATAAAAGAACAGTGGCGATATAATAGCAAGCAATTTTATATTTTGCTACTGTAGTCAGCAAACTCAGCCTAAGAAATAATGATAAGGTGTTTATATATTATCATTTATGATAGTTTCATTCAAATTCTATGGAATATTTTATTTTTTCATGAATTCATTCCATAGAACAAATTATAAAACGGTTATTCCAGTTATTATCAGTTATTCCATGCGTTATTCATAATCCATAAAACATTACAGTAAACCAGCGATTATTTCAAAATTTATTGGAAAATATAGCTCAATGAGTGAAGATTTTAGTACCCTGAATTCTGCACGACAGTGTTACAATAAAGAAAAAAATTGCTTATGGAAAAAAAGAATTCCTTCGTCACAAAAAATTTCATGCTTATTCTTGTCAATTTAGCAAACAATTTATTAAAACATTACAAATTTAAAAAAATAAAATATTTTTTCATAAAGTCATTATAATATTTACCGTTTGATAATTCCATGGAAAAAAGCCTTCCAGTAATCTTTCAGTGATTATAATTTTTATGATGCATTAACCATATGGTGCAGTTGTTAAAAAAATTTTTCACTGCGCCGGAGCTACCAATCTAGGAAGCCTTTCACGAATATTTGCCATTATTAATCATTATTAATAAAAACTATAAAAAACTATATATTTTGATATAACATTGTAATCATAATTTCTGTAATGGTGATGAAAAAATGCTAAAATAATACTATCATTACATTAGTGGTAAATGATTATAAATATACCATTCAATAAAAAAGAAACTGCGGTAGCAAACTTGCAGGATTCTAGTTCCACTCATATTGCGAATACTATCTTAATGTATAAAATTTTGGAGGTTTGAAAATTTTTAAAAAAGCTTTCCTAAAATTATCATTCGCTGAGATGTTTTTTGCAATGTAAAATCGCTTTAACAATGCAAAATAATTGGTAAACGATGAAATAAATAAAAAATGGTTGGATTCTTAAAAAGTAAAATGAGAAAAAAATCAAAATATTTTTCAAATATTAAAAATCGATAAATTCTACAAAAAATTGAAGCAATAATTATTATTTGATTAATGAAAATTTAATTTAACGTTTGCAGAATAAATAAAAGAGGAAAATATAAAAATATTACTAAAGAAGCGAAAATGATTATTTGATTATCAAGAGAGGTCGGTGAATTTCATGATGAATTTCATTTATCTCCCTCTATTATTTTTCATTTCTTGTGTAGGTGCTGGCGATGTATCAATTAAAGTATGCAATAGACCACTTCCGCCACAAGCAGCAGCAGGTCCAGTACCAGGAGTTGGAGTAGGGATGCCTGGAGTTGGGGCACCTCAACAAGTTATGCACCGTCCAACCGTCGATCCAAATCTGTGTTTCGACCTGGATCCAGCGTGTTCAGGAATATTTAATTTAGCAAGCCCAGAACAAACAATTCAAGCGCAACTTAATCCGTAATTAACTTTTTTTATTAAACGGTCATATAAACAAATGGATTTCCTTCGCATATTTTTAAAAAATCCATTGATAAGAGTTCTTTTAGCGCAAAAATGAAATCAATCTTATGATATCAGATAACTAGGATAATATATAAAATATTTATCTATAATAAAAATTTTTTATTATATAGAAATGCGTTATTTCAGTGCAATGGACTATAAAGTAAGCGAAAAATGTCAACAGCCAAATTATATGCGCTTAGCCGAACAACTATGTCCTCGTACATGCGCAACTTGTTGCAAAACAAGAAAATTCAACTGCAGAAATGGTCTTATGTTTTTAATATTTTCAAATGATTTCAAAATTAAATCATAATTTAAAATTTAATTTCAATTTACAAGATTTTATATATTGAATTACATTCAATGAAAATTTCAGTGGGGCAATGCGAGAATTTTACACAAGAAATGTGCAGAACACCTTATCTTAGCAGAATAGCGTTCGAATTTTGCCCACATACATGCGGACTTTGTGATAAGCCTGGTGCTGGCGGTGAATGTCCGGACAGCATTGATGGATGCGAAAGTTTGAGGGGATTTTGTCAGCATGATTCGATCAGAAATATTTGCCAGAGAACCTGTTTTTCAAAGGCTTGTCTTCAAAACCTCAGAAGTGAGTTGCAAAAATATTTTTATTAAATATTTATATTTATATTAAATATTAAATATTTTTATTGTTACACTTATACTTCCTACTTACACCTATTTGCCGTTGCATTATGATTCAAAGGAAAGGTAAGGAGAGGCAAACAAGTAGATAGTGAAACTGCTTGCAGTTTACTGCAATAGGAATTAGTAACATTTTTTCTCCATATATTACGCTTCTGAACACAAATTATGCTCGATTAAACCTGTTGGAAAAATATAGCGGTGCTATCATAAAATTATTGCTGTTATTGGAATTAGTAATATTTTTTCTCCATTAATTCCACTGCTCAAGATAAGTTGTGCTGATTAAACCTGCCGAAATTGATTTTCAGCTTCGCAATCCAGTGGCTGCACTGATGCACACGTTGATTGTCAGTCATATCGCCATCTTTGCAACATCGGTGATTATGGAATTGTAATGAGAAGTCAATGCAGGCGAACTTGTGGCCATTGCTGATTGACATAAAACCATCCATCCTTTACTAGATATTTCTAATCCTTAAAAAGTTGCTTTCTCTTTTTTTCTAATAAATATAAAAAAATAAATATAAAAAAAAAATCCATCAGCATTGAATACATTGGCATTATCAACCCATAGAATTTATTGATTTCAGTTATTCTATTATTATTATAGTTATTATTATTATCATTATTATTATTACTATTATTATTATTATTATTATTATTGTTATTATTAATATTATTGTCGTTCCACTATACGTTATTCTTAAATATCTAATATTTACTAAAAAATAATGCGTATTGTTGTGGTGTCACAAATCAAAATTTTCTTATCATTTTCAATACATTTTTAACAACCAAGAAAAAAATGAAACAAACGCTTCTGCGAACGAGTTGATTATTATTTTTTTAAAAGATTCGTTAGAAAGTCAGTTGGCTGTAGAAATGCTGGTAATTAGACCATACTCACGCATAGCGTGAATACGCTGACAATTTAGACGTTTTAGCTGACAGGTATGACGGAACGCTACGCTATTACAACAGTTACAATTAGAAAAGTCCAACATTAGAATTTTTTTATAATTTTTAGTAAAATTCATTGAAAGTTATTGTTTAATATAGGATTAATTATTTACATAGAATATTTTTGAAAAATGAAACACAGAAAAAATAAAAAATAAAAACTTTTTTAATAATTGAAATAATTGATTATTATTATTTGATTAACGAAATTGGCTGTAGAAATTCTGGTAATTAGACCATACTCACGCATAGCGTGAATACGCTGACAATTTAGACGTTTTAGCTGACAGGTATGACGAAAGGCTACGCTATTACAACAGTTACAATTAGAAAAGTCCAACATTAGAATTTTTTCATAATTTTTAGTAAAATTCATTGAAAGTTATTGTTTAATATAGGATTAATTATTCATAGAATTAACATAGAATATTTTTGATAAATGAAACACAGAAAAAATAATAACTTTTTTAATAATTGAAATAATTGATTATTATTATTTGATTAACGAAAATTTAACGTTTAATACGTTTAATATTTATAAAATAAACAAAAAAGAGTATAAAAATCTTTCTAAAGAAGAGAGAATGATTATTTGATAATCAACAAAGGTCGCGGCTCATGACGTATTTCGTTTATCTCCCTCTATTATTTTTCATTTCTTGCGTAGGTGCTGGCGATGTGTCAATTGCTGTATGCAACAAACCACTTCCGCCACCAGCACCGCCTCAGGTACCTCGAGTTGCAGCACCTGCTCAAGAAGTTCAGTATCGCCCAACTGTCGATCCAAACCTGTGTTTCGACCTGGATCCAGCGTGTTCAGAAGTATTTAATTTAGAACAGCCACAGCAGACAATTCCAGACCAACGTAATCCGTAACAAAGCTTTTTTTTATTAAACGACCATTGAAATAAATGGGTTTCTTTCATGCATTTTTAAGAAATTCATTGTTGAGAATTTTTTTTTGCAAATTCATTGCCGGTTGAGGAAGTGCCTGATTTCAAATACCTTGGGTCCACTCTAAAACCAAATGGACAGGCAAAATATGATATTATAACTCGAAACACGGCAGCTAGAAATGCGTTCTTCCGGTTGACGAAATCTTTATGGAATCTCGTGAAATCACCATAAAAAGTCCGCATCTATATTGCCGTGATCCGTTCGATCTTATTATATGGTTTTGAGACATGGCAAATGAGAGTGGAGGACTTTAAGAAGTTATTTGCCTTTGATCACTCTTGTCTAAGGTATATTTTACGGGCCGAGTGGATAAAATCTAACAAGATCGCATCCTTCTTTCAAATACCACTTGCATAAATAATGTTATCACAGAGCGCTGCATTCGCTGGTTAGGGCACATTCTCCGTCGTCCACCACATGAGTTGACGCATATTTCGTTATTTGCCAAACCGTATGTCGGTTGGCGTCAAAAGCAAGGTGGGCTAATCAAGACCTGGACTGATACGGTGCGAAAAGATTTTGAACGTATAGGTGGACCAGCAATATATGGACTTAGACGATGGAAAAAGGAATGGCTTCCATTACTGTCGACGATGGCATCAGACCGTGCCGCTTGGAAACGTCTTACCCTTATAGCCGTTGGAGCCAGCCTAACCACTAATGGTGAGAGCTGTTAGAAGAAGAAGAAGATGAGAATTCTTCTAACGTTAAAATGAAATCAATCTTATAATATAAAATAATATAAAAATGATGATCCATAATAAAAATTATCGAAAAATAATTATTTTTTGTTTTAAAAAAATGCCTTATTTCAGTGCAGCGGGCTATAAAGTAAGCGAAAAATGTCAAATACCAAATTATATGCGTTTAGCCGAGCAATTGTGTCCTCGCACATGCGCGACGTGTTG